GAATCGACCTTTAAAGGATAGAATTAATTTAGTTCTCAGCAGAGAACTCAAGGAACCTCCACAAGGAGCTCATTCTCTTGCCAGATGTCTGGATGATATCTTCAAACTTACTGAACAACCATAATTAGCAAATAAAGTAGAGATGATTTGGACAGTTGGTGGCAGTTGTGTGCATAAGGAAGCCATGAATCACCCAGGCCATCTTAAACTATTTGTGACAAGGATCATGCGGGACTTTGAAAGTGACACAGTTTTTCTAGAAATTTATTTGGAAAAATATGAACTTCTGCCAGAATACCCAGGTGTTCTCTCTGATGTCCAGAAGGAGAAAGACATTAAGTTCAAATTTGAAGTATATGAGAAGAATGATTAATATGAAGGTGTTTTCTGGTTTATTTTAAGTTGTTTCCCCTCCCTCTGGAAAAAATTATGTATTTTTACACGAGAAGAAAAAGACTTTTGTTGACTTTGGATCTATGAATAATTATTTCTAAGCAACATGATTTTATCCCACACTAGTCTTGAATATATCAGATACCATTTATGAAACATTCTTGCTATAACTAAGTGCCTCTCCGAGACCCCAACTGAGTCACCGCACCTGCTACAGTGACCTGCCATTCCACACCTGTCGCACATGGGACTCTGGCCAGTCCTTGACATTGTCGGGCTTTTCAAATGTCGGTAGTATTTTGAAAGATGAAGATGCACATACCTTCCAACTGAGCAATTTCACTAGTGGAAAATACCGAAATCTTCCTACGTGTATATCTAGAGGTTTGTAGGCAAATGTTGCAGCCCTGTTTGTAACAGTGAAAAATTGAAAGCAACCTGGAAGTCCAGTGATGAGAAAATTAATATATTTCGGTCTTTTGGGGGACCCAAAGCAGCTTCCAAGACTGAAATTTCAGCAAAAGCATTTTATTTGCAAGGTCTTACCAGAAATCATCAATTGAGGTATGGAGAAATGGAACTGAGAAGGTAAGAAAACCAGTTTAAAGTCAGCGAGCAGGTTCTCATTGGTATCAAGCTCCATACTGCTGAGATACAGGGAAACGGAGGGGAGAAAGCTGGAGTATTGATCCTCCACTCCTTGGATGTCAGCTCCCTGTCCTGTGTGTGGGTGGAACGTACTCCAGCTGCCCTATAGCAAGTCCCAGGTGTTTGCAGTAAGAAGCTACTGGCATGCATGGGAACAGTGAATGGCAAACACTTAAAGCAATTCCATGTTTAAGTATATAACCTCTTCATATATATATATATTTTTGGCAGAGTTTCACTCTTGTTACCCAGACAGAGTGCAATGGCGCGACCTCAGCTCACTGCAACCTCCGACTTCCCGGGTTCAAGCAATTCTCCTGCCTCAGGCTCCCAAGTAGCTGGGGATACAGGCGCGCACCACAACACCCAGCGAATTTTGTGGTTTTGGTGGAGACAAGTTTTACCATGTTGGTCAGGCTGGTCTCGAACTCCTGACCTCAAGTGATATGCCCGCCTCGGTCTCCCAAAGTGCTGGGATTACAGGCGTGAGCCACCGCACCTGGCAGATCTTTATTCTTTTTATGTAATAAAAAGTATAAAGCCACACATAGTTTATTTGAAATATTTTATGATTTAAAAAAATACACAAGCAGGAATACCAATTCTAAATTCAAGTGAGGGATCGTGGTAGTTTGAACCACAAGGTTGCATGTAGTAAGACACTGTGATTTAAGATATATTTTAAGGTTGGAAGTAGCAGGATATTCTGATGGAGTTTGACTTTGGTTTTGGGCCCACTGAGTTTAAGATGCCTTTGAGAAACGAAGGAAGAAGAGGGAGAATAAAAGAAAAACTGGCCAGGCACAGTGGCTCACACCTGTAACACATTGGCTCAGCATTCTGGGAGGCAGAGACAGACAGATCCCTTGAGACCAGCTTGGGCAACATGGTGAAGCCCCATCTCTCCAAAAAATACAAAAGTTAGCTGGACACTGTGGCGCCCACCTGTAGTCCCATCTGCTCCGGGGCTGAGGTGGATGAATTGAGCCCGCGCGGTCACGGCTTCAGGGAGTTGTGATTGTGTCACTGCATTCCAGCCTGGGTGACAGAAGAGACCCTGTCTCGAAAAAGAAGCTGAAAGCAATGGAAGCATGACTTCAGAATTCTAGAAAGAAAGTGATTTTCAATGGATAAATCTATATTCAGCCAAATAATCAAGGGTGAAGGTAAAATAATACATTTTTAGGCAAGCAAAGACTCAGGGGTTACCTCCATGGATCCTTTCTTGGGAAGCTATTGGAGAAAATACTCCAGCAAAATGAAGGAGGAGGCAAACCAGAGAATGACATGGATCCAGCAAATAGGATCCAACACAGGACATATTCCAGCTATGGAGCTGGCTTAAAAAAAAAAGAAAAAACACAGTAAAAATATTAATAGGTTAACTGGGTAGAATGGCTCATGTCTGCAGTTCCAGCTATTCAGGAGGCTAAAAGCAAGAGGTTGGCTTGAGTCCAACATTTCCAGACCAGCCTGGCCACCATAGTGAGGTCCCTTCTCTTAAAAATAATAATAGGTTATTGCCAGATTTGGGGCATTTGGAAAGAAGTTCATTGAAGATAAAGCAAAAGTGAAAAAAACAAGGGGGAAGGGTGGTTAGGCAATCATTAATTCTAGGGCAGAAGGAAGTGCCGGATAGGAAGTGAGAGCATATTATGCTGTTTTTCTCAACAATGAGCAATATGTACATAGTCATAATGATGTGGTGACTGCTTAGCCCCTAACTCCGGTAACTAGTTTGGGACAATACGGGAGGAAAAGTAAAGATAGTGATGGTGTAAGAGCTAAATCCTCATCTGTCATTCAAGAAATCACTATAAAATGTATAAAATAATCAAGAAATGACTAAGTAGTTATGTGAGGAGAAAAACAGAAGACATTGCTAAAAGAGTTAAAAGTCATTGCTCTGAAAGATTAGGAGGGACAGGGCAGGGGACGGTTAGGATGCATTATAAACAGAAGAGGCTTTAAAAAATCACAGGTATTAATATATGCACCCACTTGAAAAACTGAAAACATAATAACTTGGAAAAACCCATGAAGGCAGCTACCAGAAGGAAAAGCTGAGAGAATGAAAAGTGCTTGTCTCTGGAAAGAACAAATGGCAGGACTGTTGCTTTCATTGTAAGACTTTTAGAGCCATTTGATTTTACTTAACCATTTTCATCTATTTCTTTAATAAAACAACTCTATCATAATAAAAAGTTACATTCATTCATAGAAAACAAACAAACAAACAAAAACCCTTCGTGCCCAGCCCATCTCATTTTGGGAGTGTGTGAGGGATGAGGGCAGAGGGAAGGGCTGGGGAAGCAGGAGGTAAGGAAAAGAGCAGGGGAAAGGACTCCAAAGCAGTGGAGGAGCCTAGCAGGGGGTTCTGTGCATTCGGTGTTTCTCTACTGGGCAGTGTGGTAGTTACACGACTATAAATAATTACCAAAATTCACCAAAAAGCGCAACTAAAACTGGTGAATTTTATTACATGTAAATGCCCTAAAAGCAACCACACTGCCCAGTAGAGAAACACCGAATGGGCGGGGGAGGCATAAATAAAGACATTTTTAGATCATCAAAACCATAAAATTCATTTCCTAGGGGTCCTGTACTATATTTAATTTTAAAGAAAGTTCTTCAGGGTGAAGGGAAATGATACTAGATGGTGACCCAGATACACAGAAAGGAACAATTAACAACAGGAATGATGCACATACACGTGTCACATTCACACTCATTTTCTTAATTTCCTGAAGACATATGGCTGCTTGTCTAAAACAAAAAGTATTACACTGTATCACTGAGTTTATAATATAGATTGATGTAATATATAAAACAGTAATAGCATAATGGTAGGTTAAATGAAACTACACTGTTACAAGTATCCTTTATTTTGCCGGATGTAGTTTAATAGAACCTGAACTTCACTGTGAGAAGTCAAGAAATTGGGTTTCCATTCTTACAACAATAACAAACTAGTGTAAAGAAATATAGCTAAAAGCCACTAGGAGAATTAAAACTATAAACTAAAAACTGTTTATTTGACACATAAGAAAGTAGCAAAGGAGGAACAGAAACAAAAAGATATGAGACAAATTGAAAACATTTAGCAAAATTGTAGACCAAAATCCAACCATTGTAAGTGAAGAAATGACAGGACCTTGCTCACATTAGCAGGACCGCTGAGCACTGTGGGGAGAACAGACATGGGCAGGAGGTGAGGGACAGTGTTAGTGCCACAATTCAGGAGTGACAGGGTAGCGGGGACTTAGGGGAAGGGGGGTGTGTGAGGGATGAGAGGGGCAGCGAGAAGAGCTGGAGAAGCAGGAGGTGAGGAAAAGGAGCAGAGGAAAGAATTCTAAAGCAGTGGAAGAGCCTAGCAGGGGGTTCTTTGCATTCAGTATTCAATACATTTTGTTGGACTTCCTAAAAACTAATTGGCTCCTTATGATTAAAAAAAAAAAAAAAAAGTTACAAAAATACCAAGTGTCCAGATAAAATATGCACGCTGCTTAGATGTGCAGAGTTCAGGAAAACAGGCAGTGCTTGAGCATCGGTGAAGAGCATTGGGTCTGCATGGAGCACTCGCAACTTTGAGGTGATGACTACAGGCTCCCGGTTGCAATAGACAGTAACAAACCCTGCTTCTTTGTATTCAGGAGACATTCTGGACTCACACAGGGAAACTCGGACTAGGGAATGAAGGTAATTTTAAATGCAACAACCCAGAGTCACAGATCCATAGTCTGGGAAAGTAAAACTTAGGACCTTTGTAATGCTGTTTTGACACAGGTCTTTTACAAATTGGAATTCTAATCATTCCGGGATTACCAATATTGTGCTACCTACTGTATTAATAAACAAAAAGAAACTGGTCTCTATGAGAATCTCTATGTGGTGCCTTCAGACAAAACTTCACCAGGTTTAGAGAGAAAACCCCTGTCTCCACACCTCCATTCCCAGGGCGAGCTCACTCCGGCATGAAGTTCCCCGTGGTGAGTTTCCCTGCACAAAGGTCCAAGGGGAGAGGTAGGAGTGGGAGGCAGGGAGTCCAGTTCAGGGTCGGGGATTCCAGGACGAGTAGGGAAGGGGAAGGGGCTGGGCGCAGCCTGGGGGGTCTCTCCCTGGTTTCCACAGACAGATCCTTTTCCAGGACTCAGGCAGACAGTGTGACAAAGAGGCTTGGTGTAGGAGAAGAGGGATCAGGACGAAGTCCCAGGTCCCGGGCGTGGCTCTCAGGGTCTCGGGCCTTGTCCGCCTTGGGGAGGCGCAGAGTTGGGGATTCCCCACTCCCCTTGTTTCACTTTTTCTCCCAACCTGTCTCTGGTCCTTCCTCCAGGATACTCGTGACGCGTCCCCAGTTCCCACTCTCATTGGGTGTCGGATGTCTAGAGAAGCCAATCAGCGTCGCCGCGGTCCCAGTTCTAAAGTCCCCACCCGCCCATCCGGGCTCAGAGTCTCCTCAGACGCCCGGATGCGGTCATGGCGCCCCGAACCCTCCTCCTGCTGCTCTCGGGGGCCCTGATCCTGACCGAGACCTGGGCCGGTGAGTGCGGGGTCGGGAGGGAAATGGCCTCTGCGGGGAGGAGCGAGGGGACCGCAGGCGGGGGCTCAGGACCCGGGGAGCCGCGCGGGGAGGAGGGTCGGGCGGGTCTCAGCCTCTCCTCGCCCCCAGGCTCGCACTCCATGAGGTATTTCCACACCGCCGTGTCCCGGCCCGGCCGCTGGGAGCCCCGCTTCATCTCCGTGGGCTACGTGGACGACACGCAGTTCGTGCGGTTCGACGGCGACGCCGAGAGTCCGAGGATGGAGCCGCGGGCGCCGTGGGTGGAGCAGGAGGGGCCGGAGTATTGGGACCGGAACACACGGATCGCCAAGGGCCACGCACAGACTCACCGAAGGAACCTGAGGACCGCGCTCCGCTACTACAACCAGAGCGAGGGGGGTGAGTGACCCCGGCCCGGGGCGCAAGTCACGACCCCTCCCCATCCCCCACGGACGGCCCGGGTCTCCCCGAGTCTCCGGGTCCGAGATCCGTCCCGAGGCCGCGGGACCCGCCCAGACCCTCCACCCGGGAGAGCCCCAGGCGCCTTTACCCGGTTTCATTTTCAGTTGAGGCGAAAATCCCCGCGGGTTGGGCGGGGAGGGGCGGGGCTCGGTGGGCGGGGCTGACCGCGGGGGCGGGGCCAGGGTCTCACACCATCCAGAGGATGTCCGGCTGCGACCTGGGACCCGACGGGCGCCTCCTCCGCGGGTATTACCAGGACGCCTACGACGGCAAGGATTACATCGCCCTGAACGAGGACCTGCGCTCCTGGACCGCCGCGGACATGGCGGCTCAGAACACCCAGCGCAAGTGGGAGGCGGCCGGTGTGGCGGAGCAGCTGAGAGCCTACCTGGAGGGGACGTGCGTGGAGTGGCTCCGCAGACACCTGGAGAACGGGAAGGAGACGCTGCAGCGCGCGGGTACCAGGGGCAGTGGGGAGCCTTCCCCATCACCTCTAGATCGCCCGGGATGGCCTCCCATGAGGAGGGGAGGAAAATGGGATCAGCGCTAGAATGTCGCCCTCCCTTGAATGGAGAATGGCATGAGTTTTCCTGATTTCCTCTGAGGGCCCCCTCTGCTCTCTAGGACAATTAAGGGATGACGTCTCTGAGGAAATGGAGGGGAAGACAGTCCCTGGAATACTGATCAGGGGTCTCCTTTGAACCCTGCAGCAGCCTTGGGCACCGTGAATTTTTCTGTCAGGCCTTGTTCTCTGCCTCTCACTAAATACCTTTGAAGGCCTGATTCCAGCTTTTCTGAGTCCCTCGGCCGCCACTCAGGTCAGGACCAGAAGTCACTGTTCCTCCCTCAGAGACTAGAACTCTCCAAGGAATAGGAGATTATCCCAGATGCCTGTATCCAGGCTGGTGTCTGGTTTCTGTGCTCCCTCCCCCACCCCAGGTGTCCTGTTCATTCTCAGGGTGGTCACATGCGTGCTGGTGGGGTGTCCCATGAGAGATGCAAAGCGCCTGAATTTTCTGACTCTTCCCATCAGATCCCCCAAAGACACACATGACCCACCACCCCGTCTCTGACCATGAGGCCACCCTGAGGTGCTGGGCCCTGGGCTTCTACCCTGCGGAGATCACACTGACCTGGCAGCGGGATGGGGAGGAGCAAACTCAGGACACTGAGCTTGTGGAGACCAGGCCAGGAGGAGATGGAACCTTCCAGAAGTGGGGAGCTGTGGTGGTACCTTCTGGAGAAGAGCAGAGATACACGTGCCATGTGCAGCACGAGGGATTGACGGAGCCCCTCACCCTGAGATGGGGTAAGAAGGGGGATGAGGGGTCATGTCTCTTCTCAGGGAAAGCAGGAGCCCTTCTGGAGCCCTTCAGCAGGGTCAGGGCCCCTCATCTTCCTCTCCTTTCCCAGAGCCATCTTCCCAGTCCACCATCCCCATTGTGGGCATTGTTGCCCTGGCTGTCCTGGCACTTGTGTTCATCGGAGCTGTGGTCCCTGCTGTGATGTGGAGGTGGAAGAGCTCAGGTAGGGAAGGGGTGAGACGTGGGGTCTGGTTTTTCTTGTCCCTCTGGGAGTTTCAAGCACCAGGTAGAAGTGTTCACTGCCTCATTACTGGGAAGCAGCATCCACACAGGGGCTAACCCAGCCTGGGACCCTGTGTGCCAGCACTTACTCTGTTGTGTAGCACATGTGACAATGAAGGACGGATGTATCACCTTGATGGTTATGGTATTGGGGTCCTCATTCCAGCATTCATGAGTCAGGGTAAGGTCCCTGCTAAGGACAGACCTTGGGAGGACAGTTGGTCCAGGACACACATCTGCTTTCCTCCTGTTTCCTGATCCTGCCCTGGGTCTGCAGTCATAGTTCTGGAAATTTCTCTTGGGTCCAAGACTAGGAGGTTCCGCTAAGATCTCATAGCCCTGCATCCTCCCAGTCCCCTCACAGGATATTTTCTTCCCACAGGTGGAAAAGGAGGGAGCTACTCTCAGGCTGCATGTAAGTGGTGGGGGTGGGAGTGTGGAGAAGCTCACCGACCTTATAATTCCTCCTGTCCCATGTCTCCTGCGGGCTCTGACCAGCTCCTGTTTTTGTTCTACTCCAGCCAGCGACAGTGCCCAGGGCTCTGATGTGTCTCTCATGGCTTGAAAAGGTGAGATTCTTGGGGTCTAGAGTAGGGGGCGCGGGGACAGAGGGGAAAGGCCTGCGTAATGGAGATTCTTTGATTGTGACGTTTCAAGTGTGTGGTGGCTGTTCAGAGTGTCATCACTTACCATGACTGACTTGAATTTGTTCATGACTGTTGTTTTCTGTAGCCTGAGACAACTGTCTTGTGTGGGACTGAGATGCAAGATTTCTTCACGCCTCTCCTTTTGTGACTTCAGGAGACTCTGGCATCTCTTTCTGCAAAGGCATCTGAATGTGTCTGCGTCTCTGTTAGCATAATGTGAGGAGGTGGAGGGACAGCCCACCCCCGTGTCCACCGTGACCCCTGTTCCCATGCTGACCAGTGTTTCCTCCCCAGTCATCTTTCCTGTTCCAGAGAGGTGGGGCTAGATGTCTCCATCTCAGTCTCAACTTTATGTGCACTGAGCTGCAACTTCTTGCTTCCCTACAGAAAATAAGAATCTGCCGGGCGTGGTGGCTCACGCCTGTAATCCCAGCACTTTGGGAGGCCGAGGCGGGCGGATCACGAGGTCAGGAGATCGAGACCATCCTGGCTAACACGGTGAAACCCTATCTCTAATAAAAATACAAAAAATTAGCCACGCATGGTGGTGCGCCCCTGTAGTCCCAGCTACTTGGAGGCTGAGGCAGGAGAATGGCGTGAACCCGGGAGGCGGAGCTTGTAGTGAGCCAAGATGGCGCCACTGCACTCCAGCCTGGGCGGCAAAGCGAGACTTTGTCTCAAAAAACAAAAAAAAACAGAAAATAAGAATCTGAATATAAATTTGTTTTCTCAAATATTTGCTTTGAGAGGTTTATGGATTAATTAAATAGGTCAATTCCTAGAATTTGAGAGAGCAAATAAAGACCTGAGAACCTTCCAGAATCTGCATGTTCACTGTGCTGCGTCTTTTGCAGGTGGGGGTGGAGAAAGCTGTGAGGAGCCGAGTGTGGACTGGGCCTGTGCCTAGTTGCTGTTCAGTTCTTCATGGGCTTTATGTGGTCAGTCTTTAGCTGGGTCACCTTCACTGCCCCATCGTACTTGTCCCATCAGTGGAAACTTGTCCAGTGGGAGCTGTGACCACAGAGGCTCAGACATCGCCCAGGGCAGCCCCTGCACACGGGGGTCTCTGTGTATTCTGAGACAAATGTTCAGAGCCATTCACCTCCTGCCCTTCTTCTAGAGCTTCTGTTCTGCTCTGCTCTCCTGCCCTCTCTCCCTGCCCTGGTTCTAGTGATCTTGGTGCTGAATCCAATCCCAACTAATGAATCTATAAAGCAGAGTCTAATTTAGACTTAACATTTGTCTGTGAAATTGGACCCACCATCAAGGACTGTTCGTTCCTGAAGGAGAACCTGGCTGTGAGTTGCAATGTGCTGGGGTGGGGGGTGCGGGGGCATTGCTGTGGAAAGAGGGATGGGGGAGGGAGGGCACACCAGCAGCACTGCTGAGAAAAACATAGACGCCCTCTATCTCAGTGTGAGGGGACTTTGTGCTGTACCTGCCACAAAACAGCATTTGGCCTGAGGCTATGTTAATAAAGATACTGCCTTTAGAATAGGGAGGTGCTCTACAGTGATCATTCATTCAACTGACCTTTGTCATTGGCCAGACATAGGACAGAATGGTTCTGCATCTGGGAACACCACTGAAGTAAAATCAGAAAAATCTCTGGCCTTTTGTAGCACATGTTCCAGTGGAAAGAGGCAGATGATAGATACACTATAACTATTACCAGAGTAAGGAAGGAAAGTACTAGAAGGTGGTAAGTGCTGTGAGGCAGGTGATCCAGGATGTGGACAGTGGGTACAGGGAGGGTGGCTATTGTGCTGGGTGGCCAGTGTGTGCCTTCTTGCAAAGGTGACTTGAGAAAGGATTTGAGGGACATGAGGATGTCTGGGGAAGTTCTTTCCAGGCAGAGGAACCTCCAGTCCAAATGCACTATGGCAGGAAGGTGTCCGTGTTCCCAGAAGAACAAGGAGGCCAGGAGGGCTGGACAGAGAGAAACTGAGGTGATGTCAGAGGTGCGGCCAGAGCAGGTGGGCTTCAGGGGAATGGGGTCGGATCTGACCTTTGCTCTGAGTGGGATGAAGAGTCAGAGGACAGTTTTGAGCAGAAGAGGGCCATGATGTAACTTCTCTTTTAAAAGGATCTCTGACTGCTGTGCTGAGAACAGAATTGAGAGCTGAGGGACGAGGGAGGCAGAAGGGAAAACAGTAGGAAGCGAGTACAGTATTCCAGGCTGGAGATGTCGGTGACCTCGACTAGGGCATGACAAGGGGAAAGAGTGGGACGTGAGGGGATTCTGGATGCATTTGAAGATGAACTCACAGCATTTGCCAGTGGATTGTATCTGTGGTGTGAGAAAGATGAATCAAGGACACCCATAGTTGTAAAATAAGTGAGTAGAAGGAAGGGTGGAGCTGCTGTCAGTGGAGATGGGGAGACTCTGGCAGGAGCATACTGAGGAGGGGGCATCACAGGCACTCAGTGGAGATGTCTGCTAGGAATGCAGGTTGGGGAGATGGGGTGGAATTTGGATAGACAACTCCAGAGTTTAGAGGAAAGGAGAAATAGACTGGGCAGGAGAAATAGATTTAGGAGGTCACACCATATAAACGATACTTAAAACCTCAAGCATGGATGAGGGCACCAAGGGAGTGACTGACTGTGGAAAAGAATGAGGGCAGGGATTGAACCCTGGACCTCTAGTTCTAAGGGATGTGATCAGACCACACCCAGAGCAGACTGCACAGTTCTGACCCCATGTCTACAGGACACTTAGACAACAAACTCCCATGTGCACAGGGATCACTCGGACATGGTGCTGAGATCCAGGAAGTCTGGAGTGGAGCAAGAGATTCTGTATTTATGACAAGACTGGAGTTCGTGTTGCTGGTCTCCAGATGACACTTGGAGTATCAAGAACATGAGGATCCCACATGTCTGAGCATCAGCCTCACCTCTAGGGCTTGTTATATAAACAATTCCTTGGTCTTGTGTGTAATACTCTGAGACAGAGGTTCTGGGGAGTGGCCTGAGTATTTTCTAAGCTCCCGCCAGCAATCCTGTTGCTCAGCCAGATCAGGAACCACTGAGATCAGAGATCAGAGAGCGGCCAGGGTGGGTGAATGGGGTGGGTTTTCAAACCCTGTTTAAAAGAGGATTTTCCTCACAGAAAGAAAAGGGAGGATGTGTATCATCAGTTATGAGATGTGACATTCCCTGTTGTTCTCTCCACCATGGGGTAGGCACCAGGTAGACAATTCAGGATGTGGCTCTCACACAAGGAACACCTCTGAATGGGGCTCTCTGAAACCGCCCAAAGACTCATTTCTCACTCAATTCTTGGAGCAAACTATGGAAACCAAATTTCTGTAATGTACACATAAAGTCGTATATCTGGTATTGGGGGCTAGTTTTATTGTGGGGAAGGCCACAGAAGCAGGCTGGAATCTAGACATCCAGGAACAGAATCCACAGCCCACCCTGGGTCAGGTCCCTGCTAGGAACAACTGCCCCTGCTGCTGAGCACAGACGCCACTGCTCACACCTCTGACACCGTGGTGCTGGACACTGGACCCTGAGGCCAGGAGAGATGTCACTGCTGCACCTGGAAACTGGACATCACTACTGTCACTCAGTCATCTTTACTAAAATGTTTTCTGTACAGTCCCAGCCTCTCTGTCACCTCATTCTGGCTCAGAGGCTGGCTGTGATATATGAGTTAAGAAGAAATTATTTAGACAGGTAGTGAGGGTACGGAAGGCTTTTAACGAAAAGCAGGCTCCAAATTATTTTCTTTTCTAACAAGAAGCAGCCTGTAATATCAAGCTTCAGACACAGACACGTAAGCTGGAAGCTTGCACGGGTGAATGCTGGCAGCTGTGCCAATAGGAACAGGACACCTGCGACTGGGCATGTACACAATGGCAACTGCATCTTCCCTTCTCTTTGCCAGGCACGTTTACAGTAAGCAGACAGCATGGCGCCGGCCAAGTGGAAAGCCCATTTGCATAATAGGATGAGGGTGGGGTGAACAGCCTTCCATTTGCACTATGTAAATATCACACCTGGTCCAACCAACCTGTGGGCCCTACATAAATCAGACACCGTCTCCTCAAGCCTGCCTGTAAAATCCGATTCACTCCCATTCCAGGTCAGAATTCCCTTTTGGGTGCCCCTCTCTCTCACAAGAAGAGAGTTGTTCCCCTTTGTCTTTCTTTTGCCTATTAAACCCTTTGCTCCTAAACTCAATCCTCGTGTGTCGGTGTCCTTAATCTTCTTGGCATGAGATGACAAACCCTTAGTATTTACCTGAGACAATGAACCTCTTCAGCAGGTGGTCATCGGACTGGTGGAGCTTAAGACTCATGTCCATGATCAACTGCAGGGGTGACTGGAATGTTGTCCTCATTCTGTCTGTCTCCTCTCAATATTTTACATGCTGTAAACCAAAAATAAAAATCAAAACCACTCCCTCCCAATCATTTTAATGGACACCCTCAGCCAGCGTGCTCAAAAGTTAACCTGAAAGACTGGCTCAAGCCATCATGGAAAGCAGGTGTTGAACATGCCTCATTTTGCTCTCTTCCCTTTTGGAATTCAGGAAAAGCTGACCAGGATTTACCATCAACAGAGACCTTAAATCTGATCAGAAACATTTACAATCTATTCTCTCTGAAGCCTGGCACCTGGAGGCTTGATCTGCATGAGAAAATTTTGGACTCCACCACCTCTTATCACAACCCAGACATTCCTTTCTATTGATAATAACTCAACCAATTACCAATCAGAAAAATTAAAAATCTACTTATAACCCAGAAGCACTACCCCGCAACCCTTGCTTGCTTCAAATTGTTCCAATGTTTTGGACCGAACCAATGTATAGCTTAAATGTATTTGATTGATGTCACATATGTTCCTAAAATGTATAAAACCAACCTGTGCCACAACCACGTTGAGCACATGTTCTCCTGAGGACTGTGTCATGGGCTGTGGTCACTCATTTTTGGCTCAGAATAAGTCTCTTCAAATATGTTACCGAGTTTGACTCTTTTCACCGACAGTGTGGAATTCTGGTGCAGTAAGAGGGTTCAAGTGCTGGAGTGTAAGCGGTGGGGAAAAGTGACAAATTTTAATTATTGGAGCAGTGATCCAGGATGAGAACTTTATCTGCTACCTGGTAGGCACACAGAGTGTCTGAATGAACCGGTGACTAATGAATAACATATTTCCACCCATTCCCTTAAGGATAGATTATTACATCTAGTTTTTGTCTATCCCAGTTTATAGTCTAGATTATTGGAGTGGCATTCTGTGATAGTGAAATGATTATTCAAACAGCTTCCCTTGGCTTTGTCTCTTACTAGGATTAAAACACCCAGGTTTGTAAGATCTCTGAGAATCTGGGTCCACACCGATGTTTTATATTAATATCTATATTTTCTTGTGTGTGGAAATATTTCTGGGGAGAAAAGTTCTAACATTTATTAGTTTTTATGTGACAGCCTCAAAGGCCTAAAAAATCCTAACTTCTAGGTTAGAGGTAGGGCCACTCCACGTCTGGACAATGAACAGCTGGTAGTAACCTGTGTTTAGTAGATTAGGGACATGAAATAAATGCTTACATTTTGTCTATCTTTTCCTCTGGGACCAAAAAGATAGAGGTGTACTTGCTTACTCTTACTCTAAGTTTCTCTCTGTGGGATGGTGATGGGGTTTTCCTCCAACCAAATAACTTTCTGATTCTCTAACAGCAGCTGGGAGTCCTACAATTCGACTCAATTCTGACACTAACTACCTGGAGTTCACCAGGTAGACACTAACTACCAGGGCTCCACAGGATTAAGGGCTCAGTCCCACAAGACTGTCCTCACTTCAGA